TATACACACACACACACGCACATATATATGAAAGCCCCTTATATATATATATATATAAGCTGGATACATACTCCACCCCTTCCTTTTACAGTGCGTATACATAGACATATACATAATAGAGCTTCCTTATATATATATATATATGTGTGTGTGTGTGCGTGTGTGTATATAGAAACTGCACAATGCATATACATATGTACAAAATCCCCTCCATTTAATGATTCCATTGAAGCCGTATATATATAATCGAAAGTAATATGTATATATGTATACAAAAGAAACCTGTGTGCATACATATACATATGTATATATACAAAATGCAACTTGCAGCTTTTTATGGCTATTGAAGCCTTTTAGAAAAAAAAAAAAAAAAGAATAATTTTTATGGCTACGGAAGCAAGCAAGCAGCAGGTGATGACGACGATAGTAGGCAGGTGGGGCAGGTTTAACCCGAAACCCGCACGGTATGAAAAAAGAATCATTTTTATGGAACCCTGCCCGGGTACGGGTAGATTCAGGCTGCTTCCAATAACAACTGGGTCGGGTTTAAATTTTGTAAAATGTGCATTGGATCGGATGAGTAATAGCTTGAACAGAAGCTGAGACAGTGAGCAAATTTAGAGAGAGAGAGTCAAGGAGAGAAAGAGAACGGCAAAACAGAGTCCATGGCTGCAGCACCCTCTGTTTCTTTAATTCAGAAGAATTTGGTTTCTTTTTGTTTTTGTTTTTGAAGAGAGGAAAAAACTAATTTTATTGAATTGCACGATTACATTTAGAAGAAGTTGTGCTTGATTACACCAAAGATGACTAGATAAAATAAAACTTAGAGATTCATGTTGATACGCTGCATGGCAGCTGCGCGGGCTGTGGTGAGGCACTTTCTTCACAACCTACTTTTGAATTTAAATTTAAATTAAGTAAATGGATAAGATCGGTAAAATCAACACTCCCCCTTAACGATTTTATCCCTGATTCTAATTTTCTTCGCAAGTCCTCAAACCTAGCCTTAGGCAGCGACTTTGTAAAGATGTCTGCAAGCTGCTCATAAGTTGGGCAGTGTAGAAGACTAATTTCTTGGTTTTTCGTAGCATCTCGAATGGCATGGAACTTTACTTTGATATGTTTGGTTCGTCCATGCATGACTGGATTTTTGGTGATAGCAATTGCAGACTTTTTATCTACTCGTATCACGGTTGGTCTATGTAATGCATGCCCCATGTCTGCCATTACTTGCCTAAACCAGATGGCTTGATTTGAAGCCGCGACAGCTGCAATGTATTCCTCTTCAGCTGTTAATTGTGCAACTACCTCCTGTTTCTTTGAAGCCCACGAGAAAACTCCCGAGCCAACAGAGAAAACATAACCTAAAGTACTCTTTGCATCATCAATACAGCCGGCCCAAGCACTATCTATATATCCTAACGGCTCACCTACCATAGCATCTTACCATATTCCAAAATTACAAGTCCCCCGCAGATACCTTAATACATGCTTAGCTGTTGCCATGTGCATTTGTTTGGGAGTCGCCATAAATCTTGATAGAAGGCTCACTGCATATAGCATGTCTAGCCTTGAAGTAGTGAGATAGAGAAGACTATCAATTAGACTTCGATAGGTACCCTGATCAACCTCACTTCCACCGTAATCCTTTGACAGCTTTAGATTAGGTGTTAATGGCGTTCCTACAGCTTTACACTTTTCCATTTTAAATTTACTCAGTATTTCACGAGCATATTTGGACTGACTTAGGAAGATCCCTCCCTTTATTTGATTGATCTCCAGTCCAAGAAAATAAGTAGCTCCCCCTAGACTTGACATCTCAAATTGATCTTCTAACTGCTTCTTGAATCCATCTATCTCTGTTTCATTGTTTCCCGTGACTAATATGTCGTCCACATACACAGTTGTGTATATCTTTAATTCTCCTTCAATTTTGGCATACAAAGTAGCTTCAGTTTTGCTTCTCTTAAAGCCACACTGTAGAAGATAATCATTCTATTTCTCATACAAGGCTCGGGGTGCCTGCTTCAATCCATATAAAGCCTTATGCAGGATATACACGTGATCTTCTTTTCCTGCAACTAAAAATCCCTTCGGCTGCTCCACAAATATTTTTTCCTTCAGGTCACCATTTAAGAAGGCAGCCTTGACATCCAAGTGCATTACTTGCCATCGAAACTGGGCTGCAAGTGCCAAAATAATACGTATGACTTCATGTCTTGCTACTGGTGCGAACGTTTCAGCAAAATCAACACCAGGTACTTGCGTAAAGCCCTTTACAACCAACCAAGTCTTATATTTGTTAATTTTACCTTCAAGATTTTGCTTTAGCCTGAATACCCACTTTACTGCGATTGGTTTCTTGTTTGTCGGTCTTGGAACCAGGGTCCAGGTTCCATTGTTCACAATTATACGTATTTCCTCTTCCATAGCTTTAACCCACTGAATTTATTTTGCAGCTGCTTCAAAGGTTA